CAGAAAGTGGTGCCTTTTCGGTTTTCGAACAAGCAATCATGTTGGGGATCTGGCTCTCGAGATTCGGGGAATGTTGCCTCTTCGATTTTTGAACAATCAATCTTATTGGGGATATGGCTTTCGAGATTTAGAGAACGGTGCCTTTTCGATTTTTGAGAAAACAATCCTGTTATGAGTCTGACTTTCAAGATTTGGATAGCGATGCCTTTTCGATTTTTGAGAAAGCAATCCTGGTAGGAGTCTAGCTCTCGAGAATCGGAGAGCGGTGCCTCTTCGATTTTTGAGAAAGCAATCCTGGTGGGAGTTTGGCTTTCGAGATTCGAATAGCGGTGCCTCTTCGATTTTTGAGAAAGCAATCCTGGTGGGAGTCTGGCTGTCAAGATTTGGAGAGCGATACCTCTTCGATTTTTGAGAAAGCAATCCTATTGGGAGTGTTTTCTCGATGTGAGTAAATGTTGGGCATTTTTACCAGTCTGCCTTGTCACGGAGCACAGAGGTTGACACATATAAGGACTTTCCAGTTATCAAGCAATGTTGATATTCCTTTACCCTTGTGGGTAATGGTAGGGTAGCTGGACCTTCAAAATTTATGTGTCTAAACTTTGTCAGAGATCTTTGGCGAAGTTATCTGTGATACCCGAGGAGCTGATGTTGCGTGTGGAGATTGTCGACAAATTTCACTTAGGAAAATCAGCTTCTCGAAATCCGGAGAGTGGTACCTCTTTGATTTTTGAACAAACGGCTTTGCTACCCTTTCTTTTATAGGGGCACCAATTGTGTGCAAGAAGTACGTTCAGAGAGTTATTGCTTATAGGAAATTTCCCCTTATTTTTGTACTTTAAAGATTTATTGGACCTCATTTTTCCTTCATCATTTCTGAAAATGTCTGACCCATCCGATCGTCGTTTTCACTTGAACTTTGGTGAAGAGGCAGCCATATCTCCTCAAGACAATATATGGCGCCCATCCTTTTTATCCTTTACTAGTCCTCTTACCGTTGGGGACTTTGTGATGAAGAATGATATAACTGTTGCAGTGGTTGTCAGGAACCTTCTCACTTTTAAATATAACAGACTAATTTCCAAACGGTCTGATGAGTTGGTTGTTAAGGATTCTCTGGCTGTCAGTGTTCAGTGTGCAGGTTCTGTGTCTAATATGGCCTAACGCCTATTTTCTCGAACCCGCCAAGTTGAATCATTGGCAGCTGAAGTGATAAGTCTCAAACAGGAGATTAGAGGGCTCAAGCATGAGAATAAATAGTTGCACAGGCTCGCACATGACTATGCTACAAACATGAAGAGGAAGCTTAACAGCTGCAGGAATTTGATGGTCAGATTTTACTTGATCATCAGAGGTTTATGGGTTTATTCCAGAGGCATTTATTGCCTTTGTCTTTTGGGGCTGTACCGCGTAATGAAGCTCCAAATGATCAACTTTCGGTGCCTCCTCCTTCTGGGGTTCTGCCCAGTACTAAGGCTCCGAATGATCACCTCTGGTGCCTTCTCTTTTTGGGGCTCTGTCGATTGCTGAGACTTTTCCTGAGCAACCTTTGTGAAGGCTCCCTCTTGTTTGTTTATTTTGATTCATGTATATGTACATATTTGTAACTTATCGGAGATATCAATAAATAAGCTTTGTTTCATTTCAACGTATTGTGTTAAATAGACCAAAGCCTTCTTCACTAAGTTCTTTGAATTTTTTCTTTTGTTGAAACTTGTATGTTGAAGCTTTATGAGTGAAGCGTGTATGTTGAGGTAGTGCTCCCTTAATTTCCCGAGTGAGGAAAATTTCTCGGTTGGAGACTTGAAAAATCCAAGTCACTGAGTGATCGTGAGACTTCCGAGTATCAAGGTGCAGTATCATATGGTAGGAGTCCCCCAAGTCTCCGGTCAAGGGAGTTGACGAATGAGGTGTCTTGCTAGTAGCCAAGTTTCCAAAGTAACAAAACTTCACCCTTTTCCTTTCTAAGTGGTAGCCCAAAACTCATCCTTCATATATATTTGTTATGAAAGTTGTTAGGCCCAAAGAAGAGGAAGCCTAGGCAATTTTTTTTTTCTTTCGAATTTTCGAATTTCCCAAAAAATATATATATATATATTTAAGCTTTGTAGGTGAAGCTTTGGTGTTGAAGCTTTGAGGTTGAAGCTTTGTTGGGTATCATGAATTGATTTTGCTTCACACTATCCTGATCAAGAGTGTGTGAAGTTTTTGTGGGTGAAGCTTTTGTGGAAGCTTTGGAGTTGAAGCTTTGTAGGTGAAGCTTTTGTGTTGAAGCTTTGTAGGTAAAGCTAAGCTTTGAGGGTGAAGCTTTTGTGGGTGAAGATTTTGTGGAAGCTTTGGAGTTGAAGCTTTGTAGCTGATGCTTTTGTGTTGAAGCTTTATAGGTGAAGCTTTTGTGTTGAAGCTTTGTAGGTGAAGCTTTTGTGTTGAAGCTTTGTAGATGAAGTTAAGCTTTGAGGGTGAAGCTTTTGTGGAAGCTTTAAAATTGAAGCTTTGTAGGTGAAGCTTTTGTTTTGAAGCTTTGTAGATGAAGCTTTGAGGTTGAAGCTTTGTTGGGTACCATGAATTGATTTTGCTTCACACTATCTTGATCAAGAATGTGTGAAACTTTTGTGAATTGTAGTTGCCTTCCATTGATGAAGCTTTTGTTGGTACCATAAATTGGTTTTGCTTCACACTATCTTGATCAAAAGTGTGTGAAGATTTTGAGAATTGTGGTTGAACTCCTTTTATGAGGCTTTTGTTGGCACCATAAATTAGTTTTGCTTCACACTGTCTTGATCAAGAGTGTGTGAAGCTTTTAAGAACTGTAGTTGCCCTCCATTGATGAAGCTTTTATTGGCACCATGAATTGGTTTTGCTTCACACTGTCTTGATCAAGAGTGTGTGAAGCTTTTGAGAATTGCAGTTGCCCTCTATTGATGAACCTTTTGTTGGCACCATAAATTAGTTTTGCTTCACACTGTCTTGATCAAGAGAGTGTGAAGCTTTTGAGAATTGTGGTTACCCTCCATTGATGAAGCTCTTGTTGGCACCATAAATTGGTTTTTGCTTCACATTGTCTTGATCAAGAGTGTGTGAAGCTTGTGAGAATTGTGGTTGAACTTCTTTGATGAAGCTCTTGGTCGCACTATAAATTAGTTTTGCTTTACACTGTCTTGATCAAGAGTGTGTGAAACTTTTGAGAATTGTGGTTGCCCTCCATTGATGAAGCTCTTGTTGGCACCATAAATTGGTTTTGCTTCACACTGTTTTGATCAAGAGTGTGTGAAGCTTTTGAGAATTGTGGTTGCCCTTCATTGATGAAGCTCTTGAGAATTGTAGTTGCTCTCCATTGATGAAGCGCTTGTTGGCACCATAAATTGGTTTTGCTTCACAGTGTCTTGATCAAGAGTGTGTGAAGCTTTTGAGAATTATGGTTGAACTCCTTTGATGAAGCTAATGTGTTCACCTCATCCCCCCTCTTTTTTTTTCCGAATTTTTTTTTGGGGGGGAGAGGAGGTGTTGTAAGTTTGAAATTTGAAAAGTCCCTAGCTTATGTGGAAGTTTGAAGACTTTCCATGTGGGGTTTTCTCATGGTTTGAATTTTGAATTTTGAATTTTGAATTTTGAATTTCTTTGGCCATGTTAAACCCTATAAGAATGATAAGTTTCCACTCTTTTCATTGTCTTTATTTGCTCATTTTGTAGTGATTTTTGGAGACATATTGCTCTTATAGTTGAGAGGGATTCCAGCATTGCTTTGCACCATCTTCAGGTTGGTAGTCTTCTCCACTAGATTGCATGCTTTCATTCTTGTTAAATTGTTTGAGTGTTCTTGTATTTGGTTGAGAACATAATGAACTGATTAAGCTTTTATCCATGCCCTAGGAAATTCCTTATGTTTCGATCTTTCATGTGGTGATAGAGTTTGTTTCTGTTTGTTGTAGATGTCAAAGTCTGGAAGTCCTAGTGATGAGGGCTCCCCTAACTCTAACTCTAGGTTTGAGCTTGCAATGTTGGAGTCTTCAGGGCCTTTGTTAGAGACTTGTATAAAAAAATTTGAGATTAGGTGATCTTCGCAATTGTCAAGTCTTAGCCAATATTGGTTCTTCCTCTTTCATGTCAGTGGGTGAAGGGGTTGTTTGTGACGCCATACCCATATTTCTCTCTGAGTTCATAGCAAACCATTTAGTACAAAACTTGTTAGATAATGAAAAGCAACTTGAGGCCCTAAGGCAGTCATGTAGTATCCTCCGTAGTGTAGGAATGCGTTTGGTGCATCATGAAGAATTGTCTTCTAAACCGCCCAAGGGTCATGTTATGTTCTATACCCAGATATTGTTGACTTTAGGGGTGAAACTGCCTTTGCACAACGGATGATGTCTTTCATTGGATATGCGTCTAGGCAACTCTACCCTAGTTTTTGGGATACCTTGATCGGGTTTTATATTATTTGGATGGAATATGGGTTAGGTGAGCCTTCTTTTCATTAGTGGCGTTACTGCTATAAGATGCTCCCAGTGAAAGCATGCACTGGGTATGCCAAACGTGCATGTTGGAGTAAGAGAGAGCGTATTGTCTTTGGTAAGAAAAAGGCGTACTGCAGTTGAAAAAACCGTTGGTGCTTTCTTTATAATGATTGGGAGTATGCTAAAGGTGTCACACATGAGCGATGTGTTCCTACTCACTTCTAGACTGTACGTTGTAATGTATCCATTGTTTGCATTATTTACTATTTGTTGTGATTTTCTCTTGCTTCTAACATTTTTCTTCGTGCAGTGACGCGAGGGACCATCAAGCTGTCTAGACGGGAGCTAGCTGACGTAGAGAATGTGTTGAAGGTGCCCAAAGAGGATAGACATTTGGGCAAGCTATGACCCTTATTTTGAAAGTACGGTTTCTAGCCCCTAGTGTCGAAGTGCCAAAGACGAGCAAGTAAGTTATGTCTTTCATTTCGCCCCCTCTTTCTTTTACAAAGTTGCATTCCTTACTTTGATTTTTCTTGTTTAGTGGAGAAACTGGGCAAAAAATGGGAGACTAGCGCCAAGAAAGGGAAAACACCCATGTTAGTTCCCGTAGACGACATTTTGTTTCACAAGGGAGCTCGTAAGCACCGGGTGAGGCCAACCCCTAAACCTAAGTCGCAAGAAGAGGTCCTCAAGATTGCTGCCTCAAAGAAGGCTGAAGTTAAGGCCATCGGGTGTGCTGTTGCCATAGTTGCAGAGGAGGAGATACGACTGTTGCCTTCTTTTCCTACCATCAATCCCATATTTCCTCCAACCATGGAGTCTACTGACCAAGAAGGTGGCCCTAGCTCTAGCCGTAAGAGAAAGTACAAGGAAGAGGTTGGCAGCATTCATTGGAAGAACTTGAAGGTTACCATGCAGCCAAGTAGTTTTAGGTATGTCAATAATTGCCTGGCAGGACGTCGATCCACTGTTGATGAGCTTAGTGAGCCACTAAATGAGAATGAATCAGATCGTGACTGGATGATGAAGTTATCTTCTTATGTAAGTGTTACTCTGTCATTTCTTTGCTTTCTCCCCTCTTTTTCCTGGTAGTGACGATCATCTTGTCATGTAGGTCATGACCGAGTATGGTGACAGATTACGAGAGGTCGAGCGGTACAAAGCAAAGTTTAAAAAGAATAAGCAGCTTGTGAATGACGCCAGAAAAACGAGCAAAACTTTGGCTGATGCCATACGCCTTAAGGATCAAAACTTTGAGAGTTTGAAGAGACGGAATGGTAAGAACGTAAGGCTCGAGAAATAATTGGAAGTGACTAAGGAACAGTTGGAGACAACCATCCTTGAGGTTTCCACAGTTAAATGAGAGTTGGATAGTGCCTTGGTTGAGGTTTCTAGGCTGAAGATGAGTATCCCAACTGAGAGGGATGCTGCTGTGCAGGAATTCTTAGGTTCCTAAGCCTTTCACGATGCTTTTAGACCTCACTGTATCCGGGCGGCTAATTTTAAGAAAAGGAAATGAATTGCTGTCCTTAAGCGTTACGGCAATGGAAGCATTATCCGAAAGTACCGTGATGAGATGGATGAGTACTGACAAAAAGGTGAAGCCTTCGTCCTCGCAATTGATCCTAGTAGTGATGATGACTCTGATAATGAGGCTAGTATCAGTGAGCAGTCTTAGGAGAGTGATGATGGTCCTAAAGATGCTGAGGAATATGGTGATGGCGATGAGGTTGAAACGCAGAGTGATATTGTCAAGGGTTCAGCCTCAGATGAGGATGAATCGTAATGCCCTCTTTTTCTGCATGTACTCTAGATGTACGAGTTTGTTGTTTGTGTGGCATGTTCCATGTACTCTGGATACACTAGTTTGTTGTTTATGTGGCATGTGCCATGTACTATAGATGTACTAGTTTGTTGTTTGTGTGGCACGCGCCATTTACTCTGGATGTACTAATTTGTTATTTGTATGGAATGTGCCATGTTGTAAGCCTGAGAGCTTTTTATTTATGGATGCTTACGACTTTGCACCGTATAGTTTGATGTTAATTACCAAGTATTCGCACTATCATTGATGAATGTCTGGCCATGTTTGAGCAAATCCTCTGTTTGGATATAAGCCATAACTTGGGTCAGATTGAACGAATATATTGTGGAGCTGTTCGTTTATTTGTATAGTCTTGTTAACATATACTTAAACTTTATTTCCTGTTGAGAGCATTCATGTTGAAGCTTTGAACCTGAGTGTTTCATTGCTAGGAATGTAAGAGGATTAGGACCGAGTTGTCTAAATCATCTCTTTATTGAATTCATGCAAAATGGTCTTCGTTACATAGGATGTTGAACGGCTAAAGCTTAGCACTTATACAATGTGAGTTTACTTGTAATAGTACTTCAATCAGTGTTTCATGGATGGCCAAAGGTCTTGCCATTGGAGCTTCTAAGCTTGTAGGAGCCAGGGCGACTGATGCCAACAACTTTAAACGGTCCATCCCAGTTTGGACTAAGTGTTCCTTCACTCGGGACTCTGTCGCAGAGTAATCTTTTCTTCAATACCCAGTCCCCCACTTTGAAAAAACGAGGTTTGACCCTTGAGTCATAGTAGTTGGAGATGCGCTGCTTGTAGGCGACATTCCTCAAGTAAGCCTGGTTTCTGTGTTCCTCGACTAGATCTAAGTTGAGGGTAAGTTGTTTGTTATTTTCCCTTTGCACGTAGTTCTGGACTCGGAATGTTGCTTACTCAAGCTCAACTAAGACAACTGCTGTTGTACCAAAGGCAAGTGAGAATAGGGTTTCTTCTGTTGACGTCTAATACGAAGTGCGGTATGACCAAAGAACTTGGGGTACAAATTCTGGCAAACAACCTTTAGCCTTGTCCAAGCTGGTTTTCAAAGTTCGCTTGATTATTTTGTTGATTGCTTCAACTTGTCCATTAGATTGGGGATGAGTTGGGGAGTCAAAACATAAGTTGATGTTGAACTTAGAGCAGAACATCCTGAACTTATTGTTGTTGAACTGTCACTCGTTTTCAATGACTATCGCATTGGGAATACCGAATCTGCAAATGATGTTCTTCCATACGAAGTCTTCTATTTTTACCTTAGTAATGGTTGCCAAGGGTTATACTTCGGCCCACTTTATGAAGTAGTTAACTGCAATGATTGCATAATGGACTTTGCCCTTCTCTGCAGGCATTGGGCCAATCAAATCAAGTCCCCATTGGGCGAAGGGCCAAGGGCTGATCATAGGAGTGAGCGGCTTGGGAGGGGAGTGAAGAATAGTTACGTAACGTTGACACTTATCACATGAGCAGGATATTCTGATGGCATCTTGGCGGAGTGTTGGCCAGTAATATCCTTGGCGAAAAGCCTTGTGTGCTAGGGATCAAGATCCAGTATGATATCTGCAAAGTCATTCATGTATTTCCCGAAGGCCAATTTCTGCCTCCGCAGGCGTAAGGCATCTTAGGTATGGTAGGTTAAAACCCCGCTTGTAGAGTTGGTCGTTAATGATTAAGTAATAGGTAGACTTGTATCAAATCTTTTTAGTTTGGACTTTGTCGTTTGGAAGGGTGCCATGAGCAAGGAATCTATAAATCGGGGTAATCCAACTATCCCCCTGTTGTAAATTGCACACTTCCGCAGCCATGGTGCTTGGTGCTACCAACAATTCGACCTGAATTTTTCTCCCAATCTTGTCTTCCACCACTGAGGCGAGGTGAGGCGAGCCAAAGCATCTGCATGACTGTTTGCCTCTCTAGTGGGTGATCTGGTAGTGGAAGTGCTTGAGCAACAATTGTGTTTGTGCCATATATGCTGCCATGGAGCTATCCTTAGCGTCAAAGTTGTGGTGACCTAGTTAACCACCAATTGGGAGTCGCTGAAGATATCAATTCATTTAACCCCAAGGTGTTTGGCCAAACATAAGCCTGCTATGAGGGTTTCATATTCGGTCTCATTGTTTGACGCATTGAATTTGAAATGAAGAGCATACTCCATCGCCACTTTGTCAGGGGTCGTAAGGACTAGTCCTGCTCTACAACCCTGTTGGTTGGATGAGCCATCGACATATAGACTCCATGTTGGGGCTGTTAGTTCTATTTTCTGAGCTTCCGAGGGTAATGAAACCAATTCTTTAGGCGTACAAACAATGTCAACAAGATAGTGAAGTCGGCGATGAAGTCTGCCACTGCTTGGCCCTTCTCAGCTGGCTTTGGTTGGTAAGAGATGTCAAACTCACCCAATGATGTCGCTCATTTGATCATTCACCCTAAACTGTCAAGACTTTAGAGTATCTATCGAAGAGGATGATTGGTAAGCACGATGATAGAGTATGCTTGGAAGTTAGGGCGAAGTTTTCGAGCAGACATGACCAATGCTAAAGTCAATTTCTCAATGTTGGAGTATCATGTCTCTGCATCTTGTAAGGCCTTACTAGTGTAGTAGACAAGTCGTTCGACATTACCATCATTTCGAATGAGAACGAAACTTGCCGCTAAAGCCGATACCTATAGATAGATGATGAGAGTGTCACCAACCTCAGGTTTGGAGAGCAAAGGGGCTTTACTCATGTAGTCCTTAAAGTTCTTGAATGCCTCGGCACATTCATCAGTCCATGTAATGTACTTCTTACTTCCCTTAAGTGCTTTGAAAAAAGGAGCACATTTGTCTGTGGCCTTAAAGATGAACCTAGTTAAGGCTGCCAACTTGCCAGTAAGGCTCTAAATGTCTTTTGAAGTTACCGGTTCCTTCATGTCAATGATTGTTTTGATCTTCTCAGGATTAGCCTCAATGCCTCGTTGGCTTATCATGAAGCCTAAGAATTTGCCAGAGCTTACGCCGAAGGCACATTTGTTGGGGTTCAACCTCATTCAATACCTCTTCAAAATGATGAAAGTTTCAGATAGGTTAGTGATGTGTTGGTCAGCGTGTTTGCTCTTAACTAGCATATCATCAACGTAAACTTCCATGCTCTTCCCAATTTGTTCAGTGAACATTGAATTGACTAGTCTCTGATAAGTCACTCCTGCATTCTTTAGGCCGAATGGCATGACTTTATAGCAATATAATCCTCTATCAGTAGTGAAGGTTGTGTGTTCTTGGTTCAGAAGGTTCATGAGGATTTGGTTGTATCTTGAGTAAGCATCCATGAAGTTCAGGAGTTCACACCCTGTCGTAGAGTCTATAAGTCTGTCTATGAGAGGAAGAGGAAAGCTATCATTCGGGCATCATTTGTTTAGGTCGGTGTAATCGACACACATTATCCACAAGACATTTTGGAGCATGAGACTTTCCTTGGTCGGATTCTTCTTAACAAAGACAACATTTGCTACCCACGTTGGATAATTGACTTCGCGGACGAAGCCTATACCTTTGAGTTTTTCAACTTTTGCCTTCATTACCTCGTACCGTTCAGCATCATAAAATCTTCGCTTCTGTCTCATTGGCTTGGTCTTGGGGTCGATACTTAAACGATGACAGATGATATCGGGAGAGATGCCTGGCATGTCCTCGTATGACCAGGCGAAGACGTCAACGTTCTCTTGCAAAAAAGATATCAATGCCAACTGAATTGGTGGTGACAAAGTGGTGTCAATCTTTACCATGTGATCCGAATAATCTTTTGCGATAAAGACCTTTTCTAACTCTTCAGTGGGTTGTGCTTGCTGGGTGAAAGAGTCATCTCGAGGATTGTCAAGTTGACTATTGCTGCCGTGAAGATCCAAGTTGGCTTCGTCTGGGATGGTCTTTATGACTTGGTTATGTATAGAAAGGGTTTCCTTGGGCACATACATGTGTTGTTGCTTGACCAAAGTGTTGTAACATGATCATGCACTAAGTTGATCTCCTCTGATGTAACCCTTGCCATAAGGGGTTGGAAATTTCATCAACAACATATGTGTGGATACCATGGAGAGCTTGAACCTATGTAAACACGATCGATGTCTCAAATCATTTCCATCTCATGAGATTAATTCGGATTTCTCCTGAGACTTAAAGTTCGTGGTCCAGTATACTAGTTTGGATGAGCTAAATGGAATTGAAATGAGATTACCATCGATGATGTTTTCACTTATATGGTAGCTACCGACATAAATGAAAAGCGACGATATCGAATCGTGTTCCGTTAACTAAGTGACAATGTAAAACTGATTAGACAACCGAAATTACAATCCAGGTCAAATTCCTTACCAAAGTGTGTATTGGACCTGTCGTTCCTACATTACCCAAGGTAACCCTGTTGTGTTCGAAGTGGGAAGGGAAGCCTTATGAGATGAATGAATTGCAATATGATGCACGTCTTATGGCGCAAGGTTTCTCTCAAAACGTCATGTGATTGATAATAGCATTATGAAATGTGGTTACTGTTTCTCCATGGGGATATAGATATGGAGATTTACATGTAAGTTCTCGAATAATTACATGGACTGTTTCAAATAGTTCCAAAACCACGAAACACCCTCTTAACTTGTTGAGGCGTTCACTTACAATTCGACGGATGTGGTATACCCGTCTAAGTGATTATTTGATCAGTCAGGGATATGAATTATGCCCTTGCGTGTTAAACTATGAAGTTTTATTCCAAATTGCTAGAGTTACAGTTTATGTCGTTGACATGAACCTCACTAAGACTCCGGAAGATCTTGAGAAAACTGCCTCGCATCTGAAGATGGAATTTAAGATGAAATATCTTGGGAAAACTCGTTTATGCCTTGACCTGAAGTTGAAGCATTGTTCTAATAGTATTTTGGTCTACCAGTTGAACTACACCCTGAATGAGTCACCTTTGAGTATACCCATGATCGTCCATATGTTATATACAAATGAAACCCTTGAAGAGGTTATGGAATCCGAAATTCCATATCTAAAGTTTAACTTTGCGCTTCGTTGTACTTAGCTCATTGTATTTAGACAAGACATCTCATTCGATGTTGATCTTGGTAAAGATGCAACATCGTGCCTACACGCAACCACTGAATTGGTATTAAAGATGTACCATGAAGGTACTACG